TTTCAAGGTCCCCCAGACAAGGACAGGCCAGGGTCTGGGTGGAGAGCCACCCTAGCCGGTCAGCTCCTGGTGGGCCCGGCTCCCACCCTCCCAGGGTCTAGCCTTACTCAGGAAGGAATGTCCCCATCCTCAACCCCCTGCCCCAGGCCCCAGCTGTGCTTGTCCAGACAGACGGTTTTCTGTCAGTGCCAGCAGGAGGTGTGTGATGGGGTGCCAGTAACAGCTAGCCCATCCCATGCGGTGTGCTGCGGGCGGCGTGTTTTAGAGAACTTTATTGTCACGAGTATTAAAGTTTCTGGAACAAAGTATTGTGGTGTCATCAGAACTGTCTTAGCAGATGATGGGCTGGGTCACAGGTCCTACAGGGCATCTCAGCAGAGACATGCCTATACTGCCCAGGGAGCCTGGGCCTCCACCGAGCCTCCCCCAGGAACCCGGACAGACAGGCAGCTGGGGGTCCGGGGTGAGTCACAGTTCTGGGTTTATTGCCAGTGTTAGGAAGGACCAAGGGGTCCTGGCTGCTAAGGGAGGGTTTCTGACAGGACAATGTTGGGGGTGGGGGAACACTGCTGCCACCCCAGCTGCCCCTGGGGCCTGTGCTGGAGCTGGGGCAGCCCCAGGAGTGACCTGGCACCAGGGTAGCTCCCACCAAGGGACCCAGGGTGTCTGGGTACCTCAAGGACACTCCTGGCCTGGCCCCCTGGAGACCCAGCGGAGCAGGGTGGCAGGCAGGTGGGGGCGGGTCTGGCCAGCACATCTCTGCAGTCCTGGGTCGGTTGTAGACATCCCAGTTGATCTTGACTTTGGGGTGCTCAGGCTCGTACATGCCGGGGACCCTCCCTCCAGACAGTCACAGACTCGTGTTCTGGGCACCCAGACAGACCGTGTTTCGCAGACTGGTCTCCTTCAGTCACCACCTTCTTTGGAGGCCCCTGGAGGCTGCGACCCCATTCCTCCCCTTCCTTGGGTGATGCGCTCCCTGGAAGCGAGTGTGTAGGCGGGGCAAAGTATGAGTGTGGGGAGGTCAAGACCACCCCCTGGGGGGGGGCAGGCACCCCATTTCTGTTGGATACCCCATGGAGCCCAGTGCTACCCACACACGATTTGGACAGGAGAGGGCAGGGACTGGGCCACTCCATCCTGGCCTCCAGGCCAGGTCACCCTGGGCCCCAGAGGGACTGCATGCACTTGAGCACATGTACCTCATTGCCCACAGGAAGTCCAGCCACACACTGGGCTGCTTTCAAGCATGGGAGCCAGTGGTCTCCTTACGGTACCCCCGCCTAGCAATGCCTGGAGGGACAGGCGTCTGCCCAGGAGTCCTCAGCAGTGAGCACAGCTGAGCCAGGGCCTTTGTCCCAGCTGGGAGATGGGCCCCAGCCCACTGCAGACCTCACCTTTCACATGTCCAAGGTGAGGGAACACAGCTTCAGTTTGGGGTTCACAGAAGTCACTGTCCAGCCAAAGAGGTACCTGGCCTCTCAAGACTCCCCACCCCCTTGTGTCCCCAGTGTCCTTGGAGAGAGAGAAGGCAGGCCTGGCTTCTTCCAGAGACCACAGGGAGACCCCAGCCCAGCTTGGGGACATGAAGAGTACAACAGTCTGCCTTGAGCTAGGGCCTGGGCCTGAGTGGGGCAAGGGGGTGGGGAAGACTATGGGGCAAGGGTCACACTGGCTCCCTCGAACCCCAGCCAGGCCTAACGCAGCTCTTGGGCTCAGTGATAGGTGGACAGAGGGGGCCTGTGTGTATGTGTGAAGCGGGGAGGGACAGCAGAGAAGCGGAGGCCGGCCTGGTGACACCCCCCCAGCCCAGCACCTGGCCAGACCACAGCAGTCACAGGTCACAGGGATGGTGGAGGCACACGCTCTCGGCCACAAGCACAGACACAGACAGACGTGCACACAGGTGGCCCGGGGCAGTGGGGACACGGTGGGGCTGGCTGCTGCCCACCAACCCTGCTTGGTGCCCACTGCCCACCCAGCCAGCTGGCACTGGTACCACCAGCCTAGGAGCCCACCACCTGGCCAGACCACGTCTCATGGGGGGTGTGAGGGGCCAGCTGGGTGAGGACGACTTCCACGGCCTGGAACTTCTGGTTCTTGGGCGGGATGGGGCACATCTTGTAGGTCACCTCGTCCCCCTCCACAGGCACGTACTCGCCCTCGATGCTGGTGGGAGGGAGAACGTCAGCCCCGCACCGAGCTTCAGCCCCCCACCGCCCTCCCCACCATTACCACTGGCACCAGGGGCTGTGCCAACCCTAGGCCCAGGACTCCCTCTTACAGTCCGCCCCCCAGGGGCCCCCCAGGCTGAAGCCGAGGGCTGTCCCAACTCCAGAGCCTCAGGCGTCAGGGTCTGAAGGTCCCCGGCCCCTCCTACTGCCCCCCACTGAGGAGCAAGGAGCCAGTGCCTGGGGAAGCATGCTTTTTTAGGTGGGGGCCACTCGAGGAGGAGGCGTGGAGGACTCACTCAGACACATGCACAAAGATGTCCTCAGACCCATTCTCCGGGGTGATGAAGCCGTGTCCCTGTGACCGGGAGAACTGCTTACAGACACCCTTGAACACCGGGCCAGCTGAGGCGCGGGCTGTCCTGTGGAGAGGGGAGGGAGGTTGGAGCTATGCCTGGGCACACCCCACTCCTTAGCCTCAAACCCTCTTAGGCTCTTGCTGCTGAGCCCAGACAGGGCTGCTAGACTCCTCCTTCCTAGGCCACAATCTATACACAGTCCTCACATTGGAAGCTGGGCCCACCCAGCAAGTGGGTCTCCTGGCTCTGCTAGCGCTTTCCGGATAACACCCTCTCCTGAGGTTGTCTACGTGAATTCCTGTTGTGAGGTCTCTGAGTGAAAGATATCCAACCTAGACTTGATTACCTCCCCAGATGAGGAGCTCACTACTTTGCAAAATAGCCATCTTCTTCCTACTCCTGAATTTATCTGATACATCATCTTCCAACACCCCAGGCTGGGTCATCGCCCTTAACCTTGATGGTGGCAGGGCTGAAGGGTAAATTCCTCAGAATTATGAGCAAGCAGCTGGTGGGCTGGGCTTTGTCTTATCATTAACCCCCTGATAAAGAGCTTGCTGAATTTTTATGGAATCCATGAGTGGGTGAGATAAGAATGGGTGAGCACTTGTCCTTCTTGTAACAGCTTAAATAGCTCCCTGTCCTTGGGCAGGACCGGGCAAGCTGGCCTGGTATAGGGCAGGTACTCACGCCGAGTAAGTCCTGGTCCGTTTGGTAGGTAGCGGGCTGGGAAGGTCCCGGAGCTGGACACCGCCCCGCTCCCAGACCCGGCTGCCCTCCCTGTGAAAGGGGAAGGTGGGCCAGATGGGGGACTTGGGGGAATGTAGTGGGGGCACAACAGGGGGTGACGTGGGCTCCGACGTCATGGTGAGGCCGGCAGGTGGGGGGCTCGGGCGTCCTTGCGGGCAGGGCTCGGCCTGGCCCTGCTCGGCAGCCTCGCCAGCCACGGGCTCCGTCTGTGGGGGAGAGAGAGGCACAGGTGAGTCTGGTCCAGGCTGGGGGACATTTGGCCCCATGTCCTCTGAGCCCTCCCAGTTCAATTCTGGAGCCCTGGGGACTGAGTGGGGCGTGTTTTGCTGTGGGGGGTGGAGTGGATGTCAGGTGACACCAGCACAGGTGTTAGCCCTTTAAATCCCACAGGCCTGCTAGCTGGTCATCTCATCTTGGTCACCAGGCAGGGGGTGACTTCAAGGGAGCCACTCAACAGCAGCGGTGACATAGTGGGCGTCGGTCAGTCATGGGCCTCTGCTTCCTGCTCTGGGAAATGGACCTAGTGGTGCCTCTTATTTCAGAGAGAAGCTTCCGTGACTCGGAAGTAAGCCTGGACGGTATTTTCCTGAGCCCAGTCGGTTGTCCCTAAAACAGGGCTGATGATGCTGACCGCTCAGGGTAGCGGAGCCAGGGACTGAGTATGTGCATGTCCAGTATATTCCCAACAAATCGCTATGATCACTGTTAATCCACAGGAACGCAGGCGGGGGACCTTCAGAAAACGACTGAAGGAAGGAATACGGTGTTCCACTCACACGCTTCCCTTCTCTCCCCTCCCCAGGGTCTATCAAGCCTTGAAACCCGCCCCGCCCCCTCCACCCGCCCCCCCTGCCCTCCAAGAGATGCTGCCAAGAAGCCCAGAGAGAGCAGCTCCTGGGCAGGCCAGGTTTTCTCCAGCCTGGACAGGGGGCCCAGCACAGTGGGGCCAGAAGCCCCCTGGATACAAGCTCCCCTCCAGCTCCGTGTGACTGGGTCGTTCGGGGGGGCTACACATGGCACTGCCATCCACACGGCTGGGGGTTCAAGGTCACCAGCTGCTCTGCTGGAGGAAGAGGAAGCTCTCTGCTCTTATAAAGTCTCCCAAGACCTCCAGGATCAGAGAACTCTGCCCTCAAGGGTCCCTGTGAGTCAGACTGGCCTAAAGGAAGTAAAGGAAGAGCCGGGGTCCCAGTGGCTAAAAGCCAGTCTGCTAAAAAGGACACACAGCGTGACTGCTCACCAACAGGCTGGCTGTTCAAACCCACCTGGCTCTCCTGAAAGGAGCCCTGGTCAGGGGCTGGGAGCTGCAAGCGCCACAGCTGGACACCACCAGGCGCTCCTAGAGGGAGAAAGGCGGGCCCTCTACTTCCGTCAGAAGTGAGTCTCAGAAACTCCGAAGGGCAGCTCTGCCCTGTCCTAGAGGCTTGCTGCCTCAACCCCCTGGCAGTGAGACAAGGTGCCAGTCCTGGAAGCCCGGGGGCCAGTTCCACTCTGGGGGGCACTATGAGTCAGCATCTGCTCAAGGTCAGCGGGACCTTGGGCGGCTCTTCCGCTGGGCTGCTTCCTCTGCAGCAATGGCACGGTAGCCCCTCACAGGCTGCGGGGAGGCGAGACTGAGCCCGTGGAATTACAGAAGCCCCAAGTCCCCGGTGGCAGATGGGGGGCATGTCTGGTTTCCGTTCCCACCCCCTACTCCGCCCTGTCCATCCATGTCAGGGGTCTAGAAAACCTGGAAGCCCCTAACTACCACGGGGTGGGGTGAGGGGGACCAGCCACTCCCAGAGCACCTCTGGCTGGGACCTAAGATCAAGAGCACCACTGCCACCCTGCAGGAGGGGTGCAACTCTCTAGATTCACAACCCCCGGGGCCCAGAGCCCCCCCTCAAGAGAAGAAGGACAGACTCCCACCTCACTGTTCCCTATGAGCCCCTGGGGTGACAGGACGGATGTGTGTGACAGTCTTATCCCCACGGTGGGAATGCCCAAAGGAGAGGCTGACCCCACAGAGGACTGCATGCTCCCGGCTTCTACCGGGAGTGAAATGAGCTTCCGGAGGGAGGGGCTCGAACACAACGCGCCCCTCATGCCAGAAAAGCAAAGCGCAGCCTCTCAGGTCTGCTTCCATTCCGCTGAAGTGACCCAAATAGGCAAATCTGCAGGGACAGGAAGTAGACTAGAGGCAGCCTGGGGCGGGCCAGGAACACGGGGCGACTGCCGATGGGTGATGAAAACGTCTAAAATTAGCTGTGGGAGCCGCACAAGTCTGACTCGACTGAACCCCGCTGGGTCGTCCCCCTGCTGTGAGTGATACCTCCATAAAATTGTGATGTCAAAAAGCAATTACTAAAAGGAAGAGCAACGAAATGTCTGGGCCCAAAGCATGTACCCTGGGGAGTCCCTGCACCCACCTGGGTCTGGGATGTCAGGTGGAGGGCGACAGGCAGAAGTCAACCCCAACCAACTTTGCCCCACCCCTCCCAACCCCCATCTCCCCAAGGAACAGTTTTCTGGCCTTTATTGTTCTAGTCCGTGACAGGCGGTGCTGGGAGGTCGTCTGGGCCGAGGGACGGAGGCGGCCTGCAGTGGTCACCAGGGAGACGCAGCTAAGCAGAGCCTGCTTGGGCCAGCTGGCCTCCCAGGCCTCTGGCAGTGAAAGTCGGGGAAAGCTATATGGATTCATCAAGGCTGACTCACTGCTGTCCAGTGGAGGCCAACTTATGGCGACCCTATAGGACAGGGTAGAACTGCCCCCATGGGTTTCCAAGACTAACTCTTTACAGAAGTAGAACGCCTTGCCTTTCTCCCGAGGAGCATCTGGTTGTTTCGAACTGCTGACCTTGTGGTTCGAAGCCCAACACCTAAGCACTCCCATCCAGGGCTCAGGAGTCCAGAAAAGGATCCTGCGTGGTGAGAGGGGTTAAGCATTGGGCTACAAACCGGAAGGTTGGTGGTTTGAATCCACCCCCTGTTCCAAGCAGGCGGATGAGACAGTTGGCATATAGAAAGATCACAGCCTTTGGAGACCCTGCGCTGTAAGACGTCCTGTAAGATGCCGCGGGTCACGGTCAACACCCCAGCAGTGGGGGTGAAGAGCCTGGTGGGCTCACACCGAAGCGGACACCCAGAGGCGCCGGCAGCCAGAAGCTGGGAACCAGAACCTGGGCTGGTGTCCTCAGCACCCCTCCTGGGGAGGTCGAAGGTGCAGTGGGGCCGGCCCGCATAGTGGTGGAGTTCTGTGAACCCTGCAGCTCTGAGGAGACCTACCCGGGGCTGGCGAGGGCCATGAAGAGACAGGGTCCTGGGGTCCAGTCATGTCTGGGGGGGACAGGGTGCTTTGAGGTGGAGGTCCACGGACAACTGGTGTTTTCCAAGCTAGAGGATGGGGGCTTTCCTTGTGGGAGAGATTTTGGGGAGCCCCTAGCAGAGATTACCCCCAGCCGTCCTGCAGGCCCCCCTGGCTTCCAGTCTTAGTCTCCTCTGGGATCCTGATGGCTTCCACCCTCCTGCCTCTTCCCTTCCTGAGCTCCTTCCCACAAGAGCCTGGCCGGCCTTCCCTTCATGCCTTGGGCGCCCAAGGGGGAAACGAGAGCTGCTTTGGCCTTGGGGACGGGAGAGAGAGCCTGCTCATGGAATATCCACAGATACCTTAGTCCCTCTTCCCGGGGACAGTGCCCACACAAGCCCAGTCCCTCCCCAGCTGCTACCAAAGTTCCCCTTTACTCTCCACCAGCCCGAGAGAGAGAGAGAGAGAGAGAGAGAGAGAGAGAGAG